ACTGCCAACATCCTATTTACTGCAACAGTAAAAGTATTCCCATTAAAATTAGGATATTTAGTATCATCAATATTTAACATTTTTCTAGAATTTCTGGCTAAAATATTAACATGAAAATAATATTTAACCATTAGGTAGGAGAAGCAAAACTATCTCTATTTATAAACAATATGTCGTTATATGCCTAAAAAAAAGTCCTAGAGAATAAACTGAAAAATACTTTTAGTAGCTGAGACAGTTTAGCAAAATGAATAGTCACACGTTGCTTAATAACGGGGATACCATCTGAGATATGCATCGTTAGGCAATTTCCTCATTGTGGAAATATCATAGAGAGTACTGAGGGAAACCAAATTTGCCACCCCAAAATGTGTCTCTTTAACATGAGGATTACTTTAGGCTGATTATTCTTAAGAAGCAAAAGACTGAGAGAGTTTTTCTTGTTACCTCCCCCTTAACTGCCTAAAAGAATTCAAATAAAAAGAAACCTGTCTCAGGAAGCAAGCTATCACCTTAGCATAACATGAACTACATGGTAGACAAGGAGGAACTTAGAAAAACCTGTTTCTTGGGCTCCCCTCTGTGTTCTTCTGTTTCTGTGTAGCCAAACACTTGTTTTCTAAACCTTTGCTCCTTTTCACCTATGTGTGACTTGCCTTCCTTCCCTTTGAAGTCCCTCATTCTCCCCACCCCCAACACCTTCTTTTTTCTTTAGCTGAGAATGGTATTTAAGGTGAGGGCTTTGACTGTTTTGGCAAGTTGCTTGGTTTTCCTGTGTTCCTCCTTGGGTTCAATTAATTTGCTAGAGCAGCTCTCAGAACTGAGAGAAGCATTTTACTTGCTAGATTACTGGTTTATTATAAAAGTATATAACTCAGGAACAGCCAGATGGAAGAGATGCATAGGATGAGGTATGGGGAAAGGGGCATGGATCTCCCATGCCCTCTCTAGGAGCCACTCTCCCCAAATCTCCACGTGTTCACCAACCCAGCAACTCTCTGACCCCAATCCTTTGGGGTTTTTATGGAGGATTCAATACATAGGTATGATTCAGTAAATCATTGATCATTGGTGACTGATTCAACCTCCAGCCCTTCTCTCCTGGGGGGACAGGGCAGGGGGAATGCCAGTCCCACCCTTCTAATCACATGGTTGATTCTTCTGGCAGCCAGCCCCCATCCTGAGGGGTAGTCCAAAAGTCACTTCATTAACACCAGAGACACCTCTATGGCTCTCATCACAGGAAATTACAAGGGTTTTAGAAAGAGCTCTGTGCCGGAAATGGGGATGAAGACCAAACATATATTTCTTACTATAAATCACAATATCACCCCATCTCGTTCCTATCCCTTTTCTGTCCCCATACCATCCCATCCCCAGATAATACAAATGCAGTGCAGATTGGCATCCTAGACACTTAATGCTGAGGAAACAGAAGGTGCAGCTGTGTGGCTGCCATTGTTTCTCTCACCTCTCCTGATCCTGTCTCTTTGCCTACTGGAGAGGCAGTCTTCCTGTAACTCCAGCTTCTTCATAGAATGCTCCATATATTTCCTTTCTCTAACTGAGCCATATACCATAAACCTTCAGAATTGAAGAGCTAGTTCTCTTATCCTATGTTCCACCCCTGTCAGGTAAGGGGATAGTGCTGGTGTCCCCTTGGCTCCTGCCTATCGCTTTTATATTCTTCTCCCCCTGTGTGTAGAGTCCTCACCACACTGAATCCCATACCAGTTGACTCTGTCACTCTTTGTCACTATTTTGCTACCATCTGTGATCATCTCTTCTGTGAGGACTTTGGAATCCATCTGCTCAAATGACCTGTACCCTGTTTTACTCAGCATTGAGGCTGTCTGCCATGAGCACCCTGTTCCTCCTTCCCACACAACCGTGGCTCGCTGGTGCTTCTTCTTGACATACTCTTTGCCCATTGGACACAACATTTCAGTTGCCCTCCTGTGCACCAGGCTCTTTGCTAGGCAGTGGGGTCCAAATTTGGAACGAGACCTTATAAAGCTCCCTGCCCTCACTGATTTATATTCTCCCCTAGAAATCCTCTCACTTATAGGATGTCCCCACACCCTATAAACGTGCTCCAGGCATTTCCCATCTTTAGCAATACATCTTCCTTTGCCTTGCATCCCTTTTGCTGCCACCTATCCACTTTATCCAGTCTTCACCCCTTTCCTGGAGTAGCTCTTTGCCCACTGTAGTTGGAGTTTTATACCTACCATTGTACTAAAACTATTGAGTAAAGGCATAAAAATCCCAAATGCCACATCCATTAAAAATGCGCAGTTCTTATTTTGATCTCTCTTCCACTTTGTGGAGTACAAATCCCATCTTCCTTCTTAAAAATTCTCCTTTCCTTTTGCTGCCATGACACAACTCTTACTTCACTATTTTTGCTGTTTTTTCCCAGTCTCCTTTGCACCCTTCTCATCTACCTTAAATGTTTTGTGTTCTTTTCCCATGTTGAATGTTGTTCTCACAATTCTCTCCTCAGCCGTTGTCTTTTCTCCCTCCCTGCACACTTCCTAGGTGGTTTTAACTACACCCATGTCTTTGTTACCACTTCTACACAAAGGGCTCCCAGGGCTGCCTCAGCTCCAGCAGGTCCAGCGTGGAACTTCCGTCAGCCCGCCCTTCTCCTGTGCCCCTGTCTTGCTTGTTGGGCCCCATTATGGAAACCAGAAACCAGGGTCTTTTCTATTTAGACCTCTTCTCCATCCTCCAGTATTCCATGTCAAGTTGGTCCCCAGGTCTTTTGGTTATACCTCCTGACTAACTCTCTCATTCTCTCCTCCTCGTTTCTTCTCTCATATTCAAATTCTTCTCTCATATCATGTCTTTCCTGGATAATTACAATAGCTTCTTTTAAAAAAACCTTTAACTCTTTATGTGTATGAAATATAAAGGGATCCAGAGGTAAATAAAACATAATTTCTGCCCTTGAGAAACTCATGGTCATGGCTGGTCATAGGCTTGTAAATAAATATGTCCTAAGGCAGCAGGAAGAAGCACCAATAGAGACAGGTGCTGTCGGGCCGCACAGGGGCTGGATGCAGTGGTGGTGATAAAGGTGGCATCTCTGGCTGATTGCTTCAGTGACACCCTGGAGTGCATTTCTGACCTTATGTTTCTGTTCTACATTCTCTCCTTCAGCACATTTGTAGACTTCCAAGAACTGACTTATGTCAGCTTTAGAGGTTTGAGACAACTTGCACACCTTGGTGGGCATCTTTCCAGGAATCAAACCTTTATTCACTTAAACTGTGGCAAGGGGAATTTGCAAATAAAAAAAAAAAAAAAAAAAAAAAAGCCCTACACAATATTTATACAGGATGACTTTTATGATGCTCTGAATATCTCCCTGTGTTAAATGAGGCCTAACTCAGACTTGAGTCTCCTCACAAAATTAGCTTGGCCCAGGAAACACCCAAAGCTCCCAGTTTCTTTCCTTGATTATTTATATGGTCAGAATTCTCTAGTGTTATCAACATGATTGGAGTAAAGTGATCTAAAAAATTGGCTCCAAAGCAGCAGCATAGATATTTCTACCCATTAAAATGAGAATTGGGGCTAGACTTAGGGCAGGATGACCGGCCTGTTCCCTCCCATCACCTTGTGAGCCCATTGGACCCCCATGTCCTGCATCCTGGCCTGAAGGTGGGGAGCCAGCTTGCATGTCATAGCCTCACCCTGGAGAAGAGAATCTCCAGCAGCATCAAGGGGAAACAGAGACTCCATAGACCTGTCAACCTACTGTAGAGGAGGAAAAACTATTCCTCTGCCCTCTAGGTCCTTGTGTCTATTCTAATAATTAAATTGACGTGAGACAGAATAACAGGGGAAAACCAAACAAAGTTTAATAACATGTATACATGGGAGAAACCCAGGAAAACTGAGTAACTCACCAAAATGGCAGAAGCCACCACCTTAAATACCATCTTCAGCTAAAGACAAAGGAGGATGTTGGGATGTTGGGTGTAGTGGTTTGGGACTTCAAAGGGAAGGAAGATAATTTACCTGGAGATGGAAAAGCAAATGTTTAAAAGACAAATGTTTGCTGGGCCATCTATAGACACTAGGACCCAAAAGAGATCTTTTGATAAAATCACCCTTGCTACATGCCTTCCTGTCTACCACACCTAGAATTATCTATGGTGATAGCTCCTTTCTGGGACAGAGCCTTCTATCTTAAATTCTTTTAGCTAGTTAGGGGGAAGGGCAAAGTTTCCTTTAGAGTCTTTTTGTCTTTAAAAATAATCAAGCCAAAGAGATGCATTTTGGGATGGCAAATTCTGATTCCCCACACTGCTCTGCTGGCATCTGTCCCTTAGGTTGTCTCCCTATCTTTGAACTTGGACTCATCTGAATGACAGGTAGTCTCCATCCTGATAAAATGCAAGCCAGCAGGTGGGAATGGAGGCAGTACTTTAGAAATGTTCTTCAGCAAACCGTGTTCTGAGAGGGCTTGTGAAGCAGCCAGTGACAGTTCTGGCTGAGAGGAAACCAGGGTCCTTTTCCCAGTTCTTCCATAGGTTAGCTGTGGATTGACTTCCCTTATGGGATCGTGAGTTTTCTTGACTCTAGAGTGTGCATGGCCCTCCTGGTTGGAGATTTGTTCAGCATGCACTGCCCCAGCTTTTCACAGAGCTGCCTTGGTTATCATTCAGGCTTCGATCAGCGACATCCATGCCACTGCCCTGTACCAGGCCTGATTCTATTAAGTCCTTCCTGTCACTTAGCCACCCTCGTGATTTTGTGTGTGCTGTCAGTCGTCTGCATCCCAGGAGAGCAGAAGCTCCATGAAGCCGAGGACTTGTGTGTCACTCGTTTGTCCCTTATCCTAGGTGGCCACCGTGTCTGGGCATGTTGGCCCTTGAGTGAATGATTGGGGTGGTGGTCTCCACAGCCCCTGCAGCCTGGCCGTGCTCTGGGTATGATGGGCAGTGGGTTTTCTCTGCTGTGCTCACATGTACTGGTCTGTCTTTCAGGATCCCAGCAGCCGGGGCTGCCGTATTACAGTGACCCTGGAGGACTGGGGATGAATCCTGCCGGGAATCCCATGGCGATGGCTTTCCAGGTCCAGCCCAACTCACCCCAGGGAAGCACAGCCTACCCACCACCCCCTTCCTACTGCAACACTCCCCCACCCCCGTATGAACAGGTGGTGAAGGCCAAGTAGCAGGAGTGCTGACTGTGACACCTGCCTGTGCGACAGTTGCCAGGGAGACAGGGAGAGGTGCTGTCACTCCACCTTCCCTGTCCTCATCAATGTTCACTTCCAGGAATGGTCTTATGAACTACTGAGGGAAAATTCCTCTTTGATCTCTTCAAAGCAAGCACAGCTCCCTTTCAAGTTTTCTATGGAGGACCAATATTTGAAATCACCCTCTGTCTCCTCTGCTCCTTCCGTTTCTGATATAATCTGTGCTCTGGCAGAGTGTGGACAGTCTCCAAGGGTCAGCTCCTTAGAGTGGCATACCCAGATCCTTAGGAGAGAGAGACCAAGAGGAGGAGTCAGGGCAGAGCCGGTGTGTGTGGGTAAGCACAGTGAGCACATGGAGGGGGCCAGGTGCCCCTCCCAGGCAAGCTTCTTCCCACCAGATGGAAAGGCCCTGCACACAGCCAGCAGCCTGGCAGAAAGAGGCCCCATGGGGTCAGCTGTTTGAGCCTGTTGTCCTGTCAGTCTTCCTCTTCAAGCAGCTGTTAGAGAGACATTTGGTGGAGAAGAAGCCTCTTAGCCCTTTTCTATCTCCACTCACTTACTGAAGAGGAGAGAGGCTTCCCGTCTGCACAGCCAGGGTGGGAGAGCTCTGTGTATGGCTTTCCCTTCAAGTGGATGAGGATCCAGAATCAGGCCAAGTTGGATGTCTCCGGCTATTGGAAAATCACTAAGGAAATTTATTTAAATGGGAAATGGCTTCCTGCCCCAAACTGGAACACTGCATTTTATGAGCTCTTGGTCAGACTTGGGGGGAAAAAAACATTTCCCCCTTTTTAGTTCATTTATGGAAGCTCGTGTAGAGTTCTTTCCTTCCAGGTCAGTCTTGAGTGTGTCTTCCCTAGATGTCAGCAGCTCCCTGGTCTTTGACCAAGACCAGAGGTCTCCACTCTCTTCCCTGAGGCAGCTCTGGTGCTGGATTTTGATGGACACTTTCAAAGCAGAAAGGCACATCTGAGAAGTCTTATCACCCCTGGGAGAGAAGTGTCGCAGCAGGGCTTCAAGCCTGCTGTTGGATAGGCCGGGACCTTGGTTTATTTGATCTCAGCAGGTGTGCGTTGCGCTCTGAAGAGGAGCAGCTTGCTGAGAAAAAGACAGGAAAGCTAAATCCCAGGACTGCAGGTAAATTTCTTCAAAAAGTGCTGAATTGATTTCACTGACAACTTAATCAAAATTAGAATAAAGAAGATGTGGTTGGAAATGCACATGGTGGCTAAGAAACATATCTCCTCCCAGGATCTTACAAGGAGTCACCAGGGTTGCTGACAGTGAGCAAGGAAGTCCTGTTCCTCTGAGTAGTGAGTAGTACTGATAGTGTATTTAAACCCAGACCAAGACCTGACCGGTGACGTGTAGAGGGGTGAAGCAGCATAGCCAAGACATGTAGGTCCTGGTACATGTGTAGTATTAGGATGGGCAGCGGGGAGGGGAGAGGCGAGGGACTGATGGGGGGCTTGTTTTTAAATGAACGAATCCTAATCAGAGCCTCTTGAGAAATTGCTACTCTTTGAACTTGAGCATCTGGACATCTCGCTGGAGTGGATACTGAGTGCTTTTCATCCCCCAGACTAGAGTCTTGGTGTGCCTGCTCTGCTGGGACACCTATATATGGAGTAGGGGTGAGGAATCAGAATGGGGCTGTAGTGACCACTGAGACCTACCTTCTTCTAAGGATGGAGAATCTGGGAGCCTCCTGGGGAATTCCATGAGAAATGCTTGGAGCCAAAAGAACACTCTTGGAAACACAGTTTGTGCACACAGATGCTGCTGCCGGTGTCTCTGAGCACCCTCATGTGACCTCCAACTCCTCTCCCTGAGTGCAGTTCCTTCCCACACTCAGGTCCTTGATTTCAGATGAGACGACAAAGCACAACATTTGCTGTTTACAACCAAACATGGATCCAAAAAGTTTCTCTTCCCCCAGGTCATTTGTTTTGCATTTTTAACTTCAATTTCTCCCTTTAGTTGTTTTAATAAAGAAGCACACTAAGAGCTGCCCCTGAAAGTGGATCAGGGTGCTGCTGAATAGGCACCCAAATGTCCATTACTAAGTTTTGTTTACCTTTTTGATAGCAAATGATGTTATGAGACTGAATGATTTAGGTAGTGCTCCACAATTTCACATTCCCATGTGTGTAAGATAAATTTTGTTTTCCCTTGCACCTGGGTGAGAACCTGCTACAGTGAACACATACTGTGTGTGGAAATCTCATGTGTGATGACATTTTCCTGTCGTCTCGTCTCCTCCGTGCCGTTGGTGGATTATGCCCCCCTCTTAAAGTGAGTCCAGCTCCTGGTGTGTTGGAGTCCCATAGAGTCAGTGGTTAGGAGTGAACTTGGAGCAGATCTGTGCATGTTTTTCCTCTGCAACATGTGGCTCATTTCTCTTTTTTGTTCTCTTTCGATAGGGTCCTGTTTCCTATGTATGCAAAATAAAAATAAATTTGGGCATGTGCTTTGATTGTTTTGCTGGGGAGTGGGAAAGAGGGTAGAGATGAAGTTTCTAATAAGGAAGAGTGAGTGGGTGTCATTAGTTCAGTTGGGTTAGGGGTAGGAGTGAAGTGGCGTTCTCCCAATCTCAGGAGAACTGGAAATTAGATGCTATCAAAGAATATAAGGAACTTTTGGTTCACCAACACATTAAAAAAATCTAGCTAAGGAAGAAATTATCCAAAGCTGGTAGGAAGACAGAAGCATTAATTAGGTAAACTGACAGCTAATACTGACATTAGTTAACCTGGGGCCTGGATCTGTCTTCCATAGGTGGGTGACCCTTCACTTTAAAAGCTAGCTCTGCCTGGTCAAAAACTGTATTTCTCTCACAGGATATAGCTGCTATAGTTAGGCTGCATTTAAATGAATCACTAATTGAAATAATGTTTATAAAGAAGCATTTTATAATTTGCTGTCTTAAAACAGGACAGGAAATAAGCCAGAAGAGGTCAGTCAGTTTGCTCATGGTAAAACAGAGCTAATCTGGACACCCAACCTGGTCAGCTTTCCCCAGTAAGGTAGAAGCAGGGTCATTTACAAGTCAGAGGTCATGACTTGCAATGGCAAACTGAGTGTTCGCTTTTATCTCTCCTTCCCAAATTTCATTGAACTTCAAGAAATCTCTATCAGCTCACAAGGCAAAAAAGTATGAGAACAGAAATTTTGAGTAATTTCTGAAATAGAAGATGGCAGTTGGGACTGAATGATGGAGAAAACAGATCTGAGAAGATGGAATTTGAAAATGCAGAGAAGGCGGCTGGGGAGGTGATAGCTGTCGAACTCCATGCGAAGGCCCAGAGAGCAGGAGTGGACCGTGGGCAGATGCCAGAAAACAACTATGCCATAGATGCATGTTCCCCACCCCTGATCCCCGGCTGCAGGAATTGACCCTGAAGCCCCCTTTCTTGCAAAGGGAGTGCTCTGTGTGGGAAAGTGCTGGGAGGTGGGCTGTTGGCATCATTATTTAATTTTAAAAAGTGGGTTAGACATTTTCTAATCAGTCAGAACGTTTATAGTCTGGGCTCTCATAGCTTTCCTGTAGCCCCTGGGTCGTGATCCAAGGTCATAGGGAGATCCTGTGCAAAATGGAAACTCAAGGACTTGAGAGAAATGACCCAGTGACCAGCACCACAAATCCCTCCCTTGGAAGTTTTCTCTGGCATTAGAGGAAAACAGCTCAGCCAAGTGTTCTCCTGACTTAGATTACACCAGCCTTTCAACCCAGTCGCCCAGGCACCTCTCAGCTAAAATGATGGTTAATAGTTTGAATTCTTAATTTCTAACATTCTTTTAATGCCAAAGATGAGAGTACCAAGTAGATGTGAGGGCAATCCTTGCAGGCATAACTATCCCTTGTGGTGTCTTGGAAAGACCGTTGGCTCTGAAGATGGACAGCCTTGCTCCAGTCCTGAGTCTGCTGTTGGTTAGGGCAAGTGAGTTAAGTCTCAATGACCCAGATGATCTCAAGTCTCAGTTTCCTCAACTATAAAATGGGAACTATACTACCTGCTGATTATAATAAGCTTGTATCAGGCACATTTGGATACTCAACAAGTGTTAATAATAGTCTGCTCTCCCTCATTCCACATTTCTCTGAGCAAGAGAAACTTAAGCACAGTGGCAAGAGGAAGTGAATTCCCAACCAATCCTTTGCCCATCTGTCAGGATACAAGATCCATGGTGTAAGGGGAGAGAATCTCCTTTGAATACATCCTCCATGTATTCTTCATCTTTCAGACCGTGATCATGTAAAAAAAGAAGCTGAGGGGTGTCCCATACACTCCACCACCCTTACCATGCTCCTTAACTTCAGATACTGGGGTGTGTTGCTCAGTCGCAAGTCTTGAGCCAATCGGAGCTGGGAAGGAGAAACCGTGAGCAACCATCTTTCCTCCACCATTTATATAGGATGAGATCTGTGAGCAACCCAGAGCAAGCCATGAATTGTAAACAGTATTTGTTATGTTCATATCACTTTGGGTGTTTCGTTTGCTGTCCCACCTCCCCCTGCAATTTTTTATTATAATGCTCCTGTCTCAGATTGGCTGTTCTGCGGTGTCCAGAAAGGCTCCTGCTCCACTCCTGGGCACAAAACCCTCCTAAAAATGGTGTAGTGGGTTCAGGGATTATTATCAACACAACACCCCCCCTCCCTCTGCTGCCCAAGAAGGTGAAGGGGATTAGAGTTGGGTCCTGTTGCATTTCCCCTTCTGGCATGAGCCATGAAGATCAGGCTTCACTTCTACGAAGGACGACTTGTGTTCACATGCGGGTCCCAGGAGTATGATGGAGGAGGAGGAGAGTCATTCCATCTCTTTTAAACAGTCACAGGAATGGATGCTGGAGAGGACTGCTTTGTCTTCCTCTCGTGACTCTGGAAATCACCATCAGTCCTGAGGTCCTCAAGTCCCTGAGTCATTTGCCACAGACCCGGTACTCATTGTACAGGCACAGGAAATTGATAAGAAGCATGTAGTTTTGAAAAGTGTCTGGTCACAGCCCTTACAAACAATAATAATCCCTCATGTTTTTGTAGAAGGAAGGAATTTGTCATCTTGCTTTAAACTTTACAAGGAGGAATGCTTTTAGATGTATGTTCTAGGCTAGTGCTGTCCCTTAAAAATATAATGTAATATTAAATTTTCATTACCTACATTAAAAAGTGAAATTTAATAATATCTCAAGATGTCAAAATATTATCATTTCAACATGTAACAATATAAAACATTAAGGGATGTTACATTCTTTTTTTCCATAGTGTCTTCAAAATCCAGTATGAATTTTATGCTCACTAGCACAGTCTCCACTTGGAGCAGCCGCATCTCAAGTCTGCAATAACTCCTAGGGCTAGTGGCTACTTCATTGGCCAGTGTGGGGCAAGAGTGCATAAGAAAATGCTCAGCTCTTATATTTTGGCTGGTTACTTATAAGACGACCCAGTGAGGTTAAAATCAGGTTAATTATAAAAGGTTGAAGGTAAAATTCAAGCTCCTGTGACATCGTTTACAACTTTTAGTGAACCAACCCAATTCTCTAAACCTCTGATATTGCAGGTTTCGATAACAAAGCTCAGAGTCTTAAGGTTACTACAAATCAACAGTCTTGGGAGGTAAAAGGGTACTTGCTTCCTGGCACTCCTTAGGCTGGGTGTGAGGGTTGCTGCCTTCCATTGTAGGTCAGCATTTCATTTCAATCTCCAGAGATGCTGGATGGTCAGTCCTGAAATGGCATCCAGGTGCTGCTAAGGAACACCCAAGGGAAGAGACAGCAGGTCTAGTGGGATCTCAGGAGGGCTCCCAAGGTCAGGTTCTCCCAGCCTGGTGGATGATGACAGGACCAGCCCTGAAGTCTCCGTCTGTCAGTTCTGTAGCTCTCACCAACTTCTCCAAGGAAACTCACTTATCCCTGCAAGGAGGAAGTTGCTATCAGCAACTGAAGGGAGGACAAGGCAATAGTTTCACCTCTTCATGCCTGTCATTGTCAGGAAGAACTTTACAGTGTGATTTAGTGTGGGTGCACAAAGAGATTGATTGCAGAAATCCTGTCCTCAGAATCCTCATCCCCCCAAAACTGCTGACCACTCGAGTGCCCTTGAACAAGCTTTCCACTCAAATGTAAAGGAGTTGTACTCCAAGGCGATTAGGCCCTCTTCCACCTCACAGCTATGATTGGGCCTAGAGGGGAGTTACAGAAGGTGAAGGGGGCTGTAGGAGGGTGAGGGGATCTACTGAGAGCAGTCTGGTGGGTGGTGAGGGCTCCCGTCTCCTCGGGAGGCCGGCCGGCGGTCTCTCCCTCTGCTTGTTCCTCTGCCAGGAGGGCGGGGGCCGAAGCCCTGCGCGGCTCTTCCCGCCCTTTCTCCGCTCCCCTGGGGAGACGCAAAGCCAGGGACCCTCCTTCCAGGCAGTCGTCCCCCTCTCACAGAGACCTGGAGGCGAAGCGGAACGGTCTGTCAGGCCCTGAAGCTGTCGTTCGTTTCTGGGGAGGGCACGTCCACCTCACAGCCCCCCAGCTCGCTCTCTGTCCCCTCTCCACAGGCGGGCGGCCGCTGTCCCAGCCCCAGAGCCTAGGAGGAAGCTCCGGGTGCTCCGCCCTTGGAGATCAGCCCCCTCTGCCCACCTCTTCCCCCGCACTCGCCATCCTCTCCTCCTCCTCCGAAGGGCTGGTCTCGTGACCCTCCGGTCTGGGTGAAGGCATCCGGCTTCGCACTCGTGTTAGGAGACGGGACACGGGCACAGGGGGCGACGGCGGACACGGATGGACAGACGCTCCTGACGTGGCGCACGCCCACCGTCCAGGAGACACGAGACCCCGCAGCGCGGGCGGCGGGGCCAGTCTCTGGGTGCCCGGCAGCGTCACCCCACGCCGGGGTTATGGGACTGCTGATGTCTTCGTTTCCTCATCTAGAAAGGGGGGCTTCCGACGCACGCAGGGGTCTGATGAGAGTTAAAGGGACCACGCCGGCGCCGAGCCCCGCGAGAACCCGGGAGAGGGCCCCGAGGGCGCGGCTCTGTGGCCAGAGCGTGAGCGCGAGCGCGGGCGGGAGGCGGGGGCACCGGCGGCGGGCGCAGGGCAGCCCCGGGTCCTGACTGCGCGGGGGCGGCCCCAAGGCAGCTGCGGGAGGGGGACCTTGCTTAGCATATCTTGACTGGGGGCCCTGCTAATATTCTTTACTCGAAAGAAAACCAAACCTATGCCTTTATTTTTTTATCTAATTACGAAAATGATACGTGCTCATCGCAGACAATGTAGACTGCACAGGAAAGCACAAAGAAAAGGAAAAGGGCCTGCGACCAGGTAGCCCAAGGTAACAGTTGGGTGTGCTTCCGTGTTGTCCAGCTCTCTTGCTCTGACGACACGTGCCCGGGATCAAAATAGGAATCTTTTGTAGCCCGTTTTTCTCCATTTTTTTCCTGGCATTTAAACATTCTCTCGCCTCTTCCCTCTAATGAGTACATAGTACCCCACCACATGGCTGCTCCACAGTTGATTCAACCCACCCTCTCTGACCGAACTTTTAGGCTTGTTTTTCATTTTTAAATAAAATATTTTACATATTCAAAAGAATGAGTTGTATCTCATGCATAAGAAGTTGTAGCAGATGCCAGCTACAGTCTGCTCCCCTCCTGCTGGGCCCACCGCTCCCAGCACCACCGCCCGAGATGGGCCGGGTGGGCCGTGCTGGCAGAGGGATGAGGCACCAGGTGACTAGGGCCTGGCCCCACCACTCTGCTGGCCTAGAGGCTCCCGCTCCCCTTCCCTTTCCTGGAGCCTGGATGCAGAGGACCCGGTGGAGGATTCCCAGGCTGTGGAACATGCCAGAGCCTGGGTCCCTGGATGGCTGTGGAGCCGAAATCTCCTACAAACTCCCAGGACGGTGGCTCCCAAGAAAAATCAATCTTTATTGCAATGCCTCACAGTTTGTTAGCAGAACTGTGGATGATGCGGACAAAATATAATAATAACACGAACACATGTACTCCCCTCCCACTTAGGAAGCAGAACTGAGGCCCTTGTGAGTCTCTGACCCTTTCCATCCCTACTATCATCCTACATTTTGTTTACAATCCCCTCGCTTTATAATTTTACCACGTTTTTGTTTCATTTTTAACTTCATGTTAATATACTTCTCCAACTTGCTTTTTGCACAAGTTGTTGCTAATTTTTCTCTATTATAAATAATGTGCTAAGCATGCTTGTTATTAATCCCCATTTATTTCCTCAGAATAAAATCTTAGATTTAAATTGCTAGGTCAAAGCTTCTGTACATTTATTAGAGATTTTGACACATATTACCTTCAGAAAGATTATACTGATTTATTCCACCAGCCTTTGCCAACACTATATATATTAGTCCACATAATTTGAAGGGGGAACAAGATGCCTCATTTTTTGTTCGAGTTTGCATGATTTTATTACATGAACCCCTCACCAACTGTAGGAAACACCTTGAAGGGTGTGTGGTTGGCAAGACCATGGATGGCAAGAAAAGAAAAGGTTATGGAGAAAATATGAAATACTGTGTTAAATATATAGTTATGAAATATATGTGAAATATAGCACTGAATATATATGGCATTAAATATATAGATACAGAAAATATAGCATTAAATATATATTAAGAGTGGAGTAAGTACAAGTTTTCTAAGGTAGCCATTCACCCAAACACCTGTGGATACCAGCAGCAACTCTTCTCCTGAATGGCCTTCTTCAGTTCACTGAAAGGGGCAGCCTCTCCTCTGTTTTTTGAGGACACACAGATCCTACCTCTTCTTAAATTGTCTGAACCAGCCCCAGGCTCAGGCAACATCAGAATCCTCATCACAGTTCTTCAGTGAACATGTCTTACCCATCATGAGCTTTGGAGTCAAAGCATCTGTCACTTACTAACTTTGGGTGAGGTATTTTGCCACTCTAAGCACCAGCTTCCTCATCTGAACCACGGGGACAGGAACACCTCCATTGTTGCTTGGTTTCATCCAATCTCCATTCCCTTGCCTCTCTCTTCTATAGAAGCTGGACGAGCTGCACATCAAAGTCATTTTTCCCAGTCTCTGCAATAAAGCTGGTCCTATGATATAGTTGTAGCCAATGAAAGAAGTCTATTCTGGGGTCTCTGGGAAAGATTTCACTTTTCTCCCAAATCAAACTGGAGTTGCTGGCACTGCCACATGACAATTCATCCTGCTTTGATCATTGATGTGATCCCTGGAGCTGCAGCAGGTATCCTGTGACCAAGATGGAAAGGCCAAGATAATCACAGAAATACCAGCTTTCACATTGTTGAACTGCTAAACCAATGAAGCAATTCTAGGTTTCTTATTACCTGAAAAAATCAATTCCTGTTAATCATAGTTTCTGTTAGTAACCTACTTCTTGGGGTGGTTGTGAGGATTAAAGACTAAATATAGTGCCTAACACTGTTAAGCACTCAATAAAAGGTATTTTACAATTATTATTAATAGTGTTAGCAGTACCAACTGATCTCAGTTGCCACAAGGTATTTTCAACTCTAATATGAGTCTGGCCAGGAGTAACAAGATGTTTAATTTTTTTTAAAAATTTTTTGAGGAAGATTAGCCCTGAGCTAACATCTGCTGCCAATCCTCCTCTTTTTGCTGAGGAAGACTGGCCCTTAGCTAACATCCATGACCATCTTCCTCTACCTACCTACCTGCCTACCACAGCATGGCTTGTCAAACAGTGCCATGTCCACACCTGGGATCCGAACTGGCAAACCCTGGGCCTGCTAAAGCAGAACGTACGAACTTAACTGCCGTGCCACCAGGCCGGCCCCAAGAAGATGTTTATTGAAGGTCATTCTCTGCTTCCAACTACTGTCAGTGACCTTGGGCAAGTCTTGAACATCTGTGGGCCTCGGTTTCCTCAGCTGTTTATAAAACAGTGTCAAAGTTCCCTTTCAGCTCTAAAATTCACTGATTCTATTTTCTTTTCCCTAGAAATCTTTTCTATCACAGAATGTAGGATCCAGGTCGACAGGACTGGAGTGGGGGCTCAGGAGACAGTGATTTTTCTAGTTACATGTGCACAGTTTACAAGTCCCTCAGGGCACCCTGGAATTCCCAGCCAAGCCTCCTTGTGTGATGCAATATGAAGTACCAAATATCACCTAAGAAGTAGTCATGCCAAAAATGTTTAACCTGGATATAATTAAGCATCTAGAGCAGTTTAATCAGTATAATTTCCTGTGATGATGGAAATGTTCTATATTTGCACACTGTCCAGTACAGTAGCCACTAGCTACATGTGGCTATTTGGCACTTGAATTGAGGCCAATAAGATGGAGGAACTGGATTTCTAAATTTAAGTTAATCTTCATTAAACTAATTTAAATTCAAATATTCATATGTGGCTCATGGTTACCATATTGGACAATGTAGCTCTAGCATCTAGACCTAACTTCCAAGTTACAGGAAATGGAGATGGCAGGACAAGTTAAATGACACCATGGGGAAAGAATCAGACAAATCCATTGGGGGAGTTTGTAAGACAACAGTCCTAGAGTCCTCAGATAATCACCATCATTAAAAACAAAACAAAAAACAGGTGGTGGGGGGATTGTCCTAGGTTAGAAGAGATGAACAAAATATAAACCATGAAACTAGGTTGGATCCTGCCTAAAAAAAGAACAATACAGACTTAAAAGACATTTTTGGGTTAATTGGGGAACACTGAATATGCTTTGGATACAACATAATATTATGAAATCATTATTAGTTTTCTCAGTGTGGTATTGGTATTGTGATGATGTGGCAGGTTATTATTTTTAGAAGATGCATAATGAAGTATTATGGGTAAAGGGTCATAATGTCTACAACTTACTTTTAAATGATGCAGCAGATGTGTGTGTGTGTGTGAAGAGAGAAAGAGAGGGAGAAACCCAAAGCAGATACAGAAAAATGTTTTTTTAAATGGCCTGTCATGCATGATACCTCTTTCAAGAGAAAAAGCAGAAACTGTACCTAATGAACTGGGTAGCTTACAAGGAGATTTCCAAGCAAAGTATTAAAGATGTCTGGCTTCTTGCTCTTTATAGTAAAATGTGTGAGATGAGAGAAGAGCTAAGGAGAGGACTAGTCAACATAAAGTGATCAGAGCTTGTTGGTTTTGAAAATTCTCAGACCCTCCAGACGGCAAATGATGCTAAAATTAAGAAATGGCTTCCAGGCAAAGATAAAACCTACGGTACTGTCAGGAAAATATGGTATAAAGACGAAGGCAAGAGTGTAGCTGTACAATCCATTGTTAAAGAGTTGTGTTAAAAGAAACTTCTGGGGTCATACCTCAGACAACTGTTCAGATAAACAAAAGAGCTCCTGAGAAGCTGAAAGACGCTGTGCCTCAGCAGCGTACTGGAAGCTGATGTTGTAATGGGACGAGCATTTAGGGGCCCTGGGGAGGGGGCAAGTGTACTTTTCAAGTGGAGGAATCACGTGAATCATATAAACCAGCCTCCAAAATGGGCCTCAGTGTTCTTCACCTCTTGATATTTGTGCTCTTGTCTAGTCCCTTCCATAACAAATACAATACTGTAAAAGTGATGGTGTGTGACTTCTGACGTCTGCCCATGAAAGAATAGCCTTGGGCTCTCTTCAGTTCTTGCTGTGGGGAATCCACTTGTCATGTCATTTGGACTCTTAAGCAGCAATCTATGAAGCGGCCCACATGGACAGAGCACTGGGCTGGGTAGTGACCCCCCCAAATCATGTCCTTTCCAGACCCATAGGATGTGACTTTATTTAGAAATAAGGTAATTACAGATGTAATTAACTAAGATGAGGTCATTCTGGAGTAGGGTGGGCCCATAATCCAATATGACTGGTGTCCTTGTAAGAAGAAGAAAAGGGGCTCAGACACACACATAAGGGAGAACAGACGTGAAGACAGAGGCAGAGATTGGTAGAGTGCCAAGGATGATTGGCAACACCAGAAGCTAAGAGAAAGGCATGGAGCAGACCCTCCCCTAGAGCCTTCAGGGAGAGCATGGCC